GACAGAGACAGGCAGACAGACAGACAGACCGACACGCATACACATATACACAACTACGCATATACATACACACATTCACACATACACACATACACACGCATACACATGCACACATACGCACATGCACGTATATACACATACACACATACAACACATACACACATACACATACACATACTCATACACATACATATACAAATACACATACACACATGTACACATACACATACACATGCGCATACGCATACGCATACACATTGGCCGTCTGACCGTCGCCGTACTAATTGGTTTTCTCTTCAGTCTATGAGCGGATCGGGACGGTTATGGCGCGCGATCGTTTGCGAGTTCCAAGGTCAGAGCAACTGGGGCTTGTCATGCGGCCTCGTAAGGCCTCTTAGGAGCCTTTTGGTGGCCTTTGATGGCCTCTTTTGGCCTCTGAGGGCCTTCTGGCGGTTCCGGGGGCCCCTTCGGTGCGGAGGGCTCAAAATCTGATTGGATTCTTCTGAGAGCCCTCCGAGGGCCATCTTGGGCGTTTCGTGCGTCGTCTTGGGGCACTCTTGGGGGCCTCTTGGGCCGTCTTGGGATATTCTGCGAGGCGTGTTGGGCCGTCGTGGATGCCGTGAAAGCGGAAAAATCGCATACGCTAAACATTCCGTTTTTTTCACAAAAGGATTTGGCGATTTTTGCCTATTGGAGCTCTCTTGCGAAGGCTCTTGGGGGCCTTTTGGGCCATCTGGAGGCCATCTTGAGCGTCTTGGACCGATCTTTCGGCGACTGGGGGTTCTCTTGGACCATCTGAGAAGCCTCTTGGAGTCCTGTTGGCCCGTCTTGGGGCCCTCTTGGACACTATGGGGCCGTCGTGGGGTCCCCCGGGGACGCTCGCGACCCAGCCCGGCAAGCGCGCCGGAGATCAAGCCATATCCGTTTCTATGTTGATAGGTACCCTTCGTATTCGTGTGTGTATTTATATATATATATATATTTCTCTTTCCCTTTCCCTCTGTGTATATAAGCCTTAATCATACTTATGTTTGTATATATATATATATATATATTTAGTTGGCCGTGTATCTACATATACGCAGACATATGCACATGTATATATGTATACACATATTGTAGCCATCCTGGACCCCAATCAGCGTGCTCCTAGCAGTCTGGGTTGTGCATTCATTTTGCTGAAGTCTATGTTGTGCAACTTATGTTGTTCGGTCGAAGCGCTCCGATCTATGGTGTGCAATATGAGTTGTGCAACATGTGCGGAGAAATCTATGTGGTGCACTCTATGTTGTGCGATCCATGCTGTGGAATCTATGGTCTGCAATCTATGTTGTGTGCTTTCCTTGGTGTGATCTCTGCGGTGCAACCTCAGTGAAGCAAATCATGTGGTGTGAAACCTGTTGGGCAAACTATGCTGTGCCATTTATGTCGTGCAATGTATGTGGTGCAACATATGCTGTTCAATACGTGTTGTGCAACATATGTGGTACAGTATATGTGGTGCGATGAAACATTTGTTGTTGTGCAATACAGGAGATGCGATTTCGAGGTGCCATATATGTTGTGCCAACTATGTGGTGAGTTATGTCGTTGAGTGCACGGTGTGCAATCAGTTTTGTGAAATCTATGTGGTGCAATAAAACTATGTGATATAATACATGTGGTTGCAATGTATGCACTGCAAGTTATGTTGTGCAACCGATGTGGAGCACAATCTATGGGGCGGCGACGGGGCGGCGACGGCGGCAACAAGTGCGGCGACCGACAGGCAGACCTGGACGATGGGCAGCGACAAGGCGGCGACGGGGCGGCGACGGTGGCAACAAAACGCGGCGACCGACAGACAGGCGCAGACGACGGGCGGCGACGAGGCGGCGACGAGGCGGCGACGAGGCGGCGACGGCGGCATCATAGCCGCCAGACCGACAGACTGGCTAAGTTCTTTAGTGACATGTAGCGGCCGCTAGTGTGTACATAAGAGAGCGAAGGGGAGAGAGAGAGAGAGAGAGAGAGAGAGACAAAAAAAAGGTAGAGGGAGAGCGAGAGAAGGAGGGACAGAGAAAGAGAGGCTGGGGGAGGGGTGGGTGGGCGGGGTGTCCAAGGACAGCAGCGTGCTCCGTCGGCCCGCCTCCGTCAGGCCTCCTCCTTCTCCTCCTCCTCCCCCTCCTCCCGCTTCTCCTCCCCCTCCTCCCGCTCTCCTCCTCCCTCCTTCTCCTTCTCCTTGTCCTCCTCCTCTTCCTCCTCCTCCTCCTCCTCCTCCTCCTCCTCCTCCTCCTCCTCCTCCCCCCTCTTCCCTCTTCCCCCCTCCTCCTCCTCCTCCTCCTCCTCCTCCTCCTCCTCCTCCTCCACCTTCCTGCCTTGGAGAGGAGAGCCGCGGCCGGAGCCTGGCGACGTAGTGGAGGAGGCGCTGCGGCTGCCGCAGCTGCCCATCTTCCCGCTGATGGGCGGCGCCGCCTGCGGCTGCACCTCTCACGGGCCGATCTTCGCGAGCTTGTGCCAGGCGCCGCCGAGAGGAGGAGGACGAGGAGGAGGAGGAGGATGAAGACGAATAGTAGTAAGAATAATAGCATCATTATGATGGTTATCGTGTTTAATAATACGAATAATAATCTGGATGCTACTACTAATACTAACACTATTAGAAACAATCGTACTAGTAGTAATACTGCCAGCAAAATCATCACTGATGCCAAATCGGAAAATAATAGTACTAGGAAGATGAGTGAGACGACTCATAACATGGATAACCACCATTCTAGTATCAGTATTATTGTTACTACAAATACTACTACTACGACTTCGACCACTACTCTTACTACTATTACTATTTCGACTACTTCTTCGAATACTACTGCTACTACTACTACTACGACTACTACTACTACTACCACTACTACTACTACTACTACTACTACTACTACTACTACTACTACTACTACTACTACCACTACCACTACCACTACCACTACCACTACTACTACTACTACTACTACTACTACTACTACTACTACTACTACTACTACTACTACTACTACTACTACTACTACTACTACTACTACTACTACTACTACTACTACTACTACTACTACTACTACTATTACTACTACTACTACTACTACTACTACTACCTACTACTACTACTGCTACTACTGCTACTACTACATAAACTGCTACTACTACTACTTACTACCGACGACTACTACTACTACTACTACTACTACTACTACTACTACTACTACTACTACTACTATACTACTACTACTACGACTACTACAAGTACGACTGCGACTATTACTACTACTACTACTACTACTACTACTACTACTACTTCTACTACATATACCACCGACGACTACTACTACTACTACGACTACTACAACTACTACGCGTACGACTGCCACTATTACTCTTACTACTATCTACTACTACTATTACTACTACTACTACTACTACTACTACTACTACCACTACTACTTCTACTGCTACGACTACTACTACTACTACTACTACGACGACTACTACTACTACTACTACTACTACAACTACAACTACAACTACAACTACAACTACACCTACAACTACAACTACTACTATTAGTGCTACTACTACTACTACTACTACTACTACTACTACTACTACTACTACTACTACGACTACGACTACGACTACTACTACTAGTACTACTACGACGACGACGACTACTACTACTACTACTACTACTACTACTATTACTATTACTGCTGCTGCTGCTGCTACTACTACTACTATTACTACTACTACTACTACTACTACTACTACTACTACTACTATTATTACTACTACTACTACTACTACTACTACTACTACTTTTACTACTACCATTACTAATCATGCTAATACTACGGATGATAACATTTTGGCTGATACTCATACTATTCGTAATACTGCTACTGATACTCGTAATACCCATGAAAAGAGGAGGAGGAGGAGGAGGAGGAGGAGGAGGAGGAGGAGGAGGAGGAGGAGGAGGAGGAGGAGGAGGACGAGGAGGAGGAGGAGGAGGAGGAGCAGGAGGAGCAGGAGGAGCAGGAGGAGGAGGGTGGAGGAGGAGGAGGACGAGAAGGAAAAGGAGGAGGTGGAAGAGGAGGAGGAGTGGGAGGAGGGCTCCCCGTGCGTGTCGTGTGCCGCCCCGTCGACGTTGGCAGCCGATTCTGTACTTCCCACCCTGTCAACCCATCATCCGTTCATGCTTAACAGATAATTCCCCGCACGATTCAATGCTTTGATTCTTGCTTCTTGTTCGCTTGTCATTTTGACGTCGAGCAGCAGGAGTCTTTCATGTGCTTCTGGGGTCACCAAACCTGGGATCTGCTCCGGGTCCCGCCGTCCGGCTGCGAGCGCTGTCCAGGAGGGGCGGCCCCCGCTTCCGTGCACTCCCCAGGAAGCGCGCCAGGACAGGGCGCGTGCTGCGGCCGCGGCGAGGCTCGGGACGCTGGAGGTGCCACCGCAGGCCCTGCGCCTCTTGTGGCGCGCCCGCCGAGGCTGTGGGGCCTTCATCGTCATCATCGTGATTTTCCTCGCGAGGGTCTGGGAGGCCGCGGGGGACGGGGGGCGCCGGGACACCTGCCAGGGCTTCGCGTTCGTGCTGGGCAGCATCCTCCGGGCGCTCTCCTTCGCAGTCGTCAGGTTCGTTGACGTGGTTGCCCTCACGGCCTCGTCGTCTCCCCGGCCGCGATCGCCTCACCAGTCGCCCTGGCCGATTGGGCCGCCAGCTGGAGCGTCAAGGACTTCGACTCGACGCTCGGCTATCCCAGCGAGGGCCCCTCAGAGCCAAGCATGGAGGTCGATAGCGACCCCCTGGGGAGGCAGAATAGGCGCCCGTTCGGCTCTACTGCGGGCTGGCGCTGGTCTGTCCAGGACAGCCATGACCGCTGGCGGGGGAAGTGCCAGGCCTGCCACGAGAGCTTCAGCACTGGGGAGGAGCGGATCTTGAAGAATACGAATCCAGCCCACCCCAAATACGCTCGCCTCGAGTGCGTGGGCGAGGTGCTCGGACTTTCTCACGCCACTGCCCGCTGGACAGACCTCGCGGTGGAGCAGCAAACGTCGCTCGTTCCATGGCTGGAGCCCCCGCTGGCGGCAAAAGTTCCTCAGGAGCGGCTGGGGGCCGAGGTGCCGATGGCCGGCCCTCGCGGGCAGCGGGGGAGCGGCAGTGCAGCGGCAGTCTGGGATGCAGTCCAGGGCCTGGTCCGCACAGTGGACCTCCCCAGCTCCGAGCTCTGCAGCATGGATCTGGTGGATGTCGCCAGGGGCGCAGGGATGGTTCGAGGAGGCCCTCCCCAATCAAGGCATGACTCTGACGGAGGTCCCGGGCGCGCTCCAGGTCGCCGCGGGGGAGTTCAAGGACGTGGTGGCCTCCTGGGCGCTGCAGGCCCCGGACGACGACTGGAGGTCAGCGGACTGGCGCTTGTTCCTATTGATCGACCGTTTTCTTTTTGCCGAACTGTACTTCGGGACAGAAGTAGAGCCAAGCAGACCAGTCGCGCTGCGTGTTGGCGACTGTAGTAGCAGCCGTGTGCGCACGCACATGAGCAAAAGAGGACCAATCAGCGCGTTCGGCTGTACTGCCGCGCTGCTCCTCTCCAGGTGTCTGCCGGAACGGCAGCAATATCTGACCAACTTATGTTACTTTGTTCACATACATTCGGAGCGTGTGTCAGCACTTCCCCCGACCACACCTGTCGTGGTCGGCCCCGCTTGCGCGGCCGTGCCGGGTCCAAAAGTTCCACAGATGAGGGTGTGAAAACAGCTTGGCGGAGAGGATGCTGGTCACCCTCGCGCGCAATCCTGGCAAAGTAAACAAGTTGTCTTTCCAGCAACGTACAACTGAGCTTTACACAGCGCGCCTGCTCTAAAGCAGCTGCATTTGTCACATGTCTCACGTACGAGTGCGGCACTCTTAGGATCTTTCGCAGGCACCGCGCCTGGAATGCATCCAGCTTGGACAGCTCCGCGCTCTTCAGCCAGGCAGTGTGGAGGCTGTATAAGAGCTTGCTCAGGACGCACGCTTCGAGAATACGGACCTTCCGTCGGGTAGGAAGAGCCGCGTGCGACCACAAACGAACGAGCCTCTCGAACTCGGCCCTCGCCGCGCCTAGTCTCCGCCGGGACAACTCCGCGTCCACGGTGCCAGCCGCAGACAGGACGCTCCCCAGATATACGATGCTGTCCTTCTGCTCCACGTGCCCGCCGTCTGGCTTCGGTATGCGGACCGCGCACCTGGCCGGAAGCACCTCAAGCTTTCTCCAGTTGTACTGCAGGCCGCATTGCGCTCCAGCTCGCGCAATCGCCCGCATGTACTCGGTCGCGTCGCCACCCTGCGCAGCCACGATCAGCGTGTCTTCTGCGTAGCTCACGTCTGTGGATTTGGAGCCCAGGTCTGCCTTGGCATCGTGGATGAGAATGGTCATGACGATTGCGAACAAGAAAGGCGAGAGCGGGCAGCCCTGGCAGATGCCCGCCTTCTGCTCCCGCTGATCGGTGTTGGCGAGAGGCTGAGTCTATTTTGGGCGGGCGAGTGGGAGATGCTGTTCCGTTTGACGGCAGTCCGCCGGAAAGCCCGCAGCCGTGGTGGCCAGCTCCATCGCGCAGTCCGCCGTGTTCGCTACCTCCTCTGCGACGGGGAGCTCGGCAGAGCTTGCCAGGCAGCCTGGGGGACCGCTGCGACCCACGACGTTTCTACCACGCGCTCCGCCTTACACGAGCAGCATGGCTTGCCCCCCAGAGCTCTTGCCGTGGACGGTGTGACGAAGCCTTGGGCCCAGTCCCCATGGAGTCCGTGGGGGCGGTCAGAGTTCTCGCGACGGACATAGAACAGGCACTCGCGGCATCGCGGGCCCGCGGGCCACGGGGAAGCGGGCCAGACCCTCTGGGGGACCGCTACGAACACTGGATCCCGATGGCTCGGAGCGCGGACAAAGGCGCCGCAACTGCCTGCGCGCTGGGAGCGCCCCCCCAGCCGCGGGCGATCTGCTGTTCGCTTCCAAGCTGTCGGGGCTAGCAAAGGCCAGCGACGGCATCCGCGTGGTGGCCAGCGGCGGGGTGCCGCGACGGCTGCTCGCGAGGGCGGTGTGCCCGGCTCGCAGCGCCGCGCAGTCGGAACCGCGCTTCGCAGAAAGTGGTGACGGCCGCCGCTGAGGAGTTACTTCGTGTTCGTCTCCATGGACGTAATGTCTGCCTTCCAGAGATGCAGGGGCCGCGAGCTCCTTCGAGCATTGCGCCAGCGGTGCCCAGACCTGGAGCTGCTGGCCCGCGCGATGTCCGACCGCCCCAGCGCGTCCTTCGCGGCAGCGGCGAGCCCAGTGAAGAGGTGCGGCAGGTGCTGGGCCTAGACGGGGGCTGCCCTCTTTCGCCAGCGTTTTACGCCATTCCGTTGGTGGATCCTCTGGGTATTTGTACCGGGAGCTGCAGGCGCTGCGCGCGAGGGCAGACGCGGTGGCCTACCCCGACGACGTATACTTC